AAAAAAATCCCTCTAAGGCCTTGGTCTGCAAACCGCGGCTTGTGAGCCACATGTGGATCTTCTGCCCCTTGAGTGTGGCTCTTCCACAAAATACCACGGCCTGAGTGAGTCTATTTTGAAGAAGTGGCATTAGAAGAAGTTTAAGTTTAAAAAATTTGTCTCTCAAAATAAATTTCAATCGTTGTACTGTTGATATTTGGCTCTATTGACTAATGAGTTTGCCGACCACTGCTCTAAGGCATCAGTTTAGGAACTTTTACTTCTATTCGGAGGTAGTAAGGGGCTGAACTATTGATGCTTGAATACACAAGTGCTAAAATCCTAATTTAAAAATGATCTGGCTGAAAACAGTTATAGGATTTACTGAACTAGACAGGGAGGATCCAGGAATCCTAAAACTTTGGAAGGATTATATAAGCCTTTAATGTTTATTGTAAAAACTTACAAATGCCATTAGTAGAAATTCTGACTTTCAGGCTCTTGATGGAAACTGACCTGGGAAATAGAATCCCACAGTCCCTTTGTCTTATTCATCCTGACACAGGAGTTACTAGCTTCTACTCAGATCAGAAATCCCCTTTCATTTGAAAGGGATAATTTGATTATAGAAGTGTTCACACTTAATATGTTTGTTCATTTGTTATACATCAAATTATTATTTTTCCTGACAATCTCTTCTCAACCAAGCAGCCTTGTTTTTTTTCAAACCAAAACAGCCAATCTGTTTTCAAAGAAAGGCCCTCCCCAAAATACAATTTGAACAGAGAAATAAATTCCTCAGACCCTGAACCTTATTGTGCAAGGAATATGCACTGGCACTCTCTGAGAAAGCCATATTGGAAGGAAAAGAAAAAAAAAAGAAAAAAACAAAACAAAAAAAAAACCACCCATGATTTTAAAGGAAACGTGATAACTTTCATTCTGTGTGACATATCTTTATTAAGAATGGGGTGAACAAAGAAAGAGTATAATACAATCATATCTTTGGCCTCCAAATTAAAAATGCAAGTTATATCCTAACCGAAAACTCCCTGCAGACAGTAAGTATTAGGAGGCTGTGTTGGTAAATGAGTTTGGCTGTGCCTTTCTCTTGTGGCACAGGCAGCTGTGATTAGAAACAGGGCCCTTGGCACGTAGTCTCTCCAGGCCACACTTCCTGTGCATGAGCAGGCTGAGGGCAGAGCCAGTGACCGTCTGATATTCCAATTTTTTATTATTATTTGCTTAGCTGATAGAGAAGAGTATATATATATTTAATAAGCTTATCAAAAAAGCTACAGAAATTAATCCCTAGTTTTTTAAATATATTTTATTGATTTTGTACAGAGAGGAAGGGAGACAGATAGAGAGTTAGAAATATCTATGAGAGAGAGTCATCGATCAGCTGCCTCTTGCACACCCCCTACTAGGGATATGCCCACAACCAAGGTACATGCCCTTGAGCGGAATCGAACCTGGGACCTTTCAGTCGCCAAGCCGATGCTCTATCCATTGAGCCAAACCGGTTTCGGTAATCCCTAGTATTTTTGACCAGGCATCGAAATGAGCCCTTCCGTATATCCTGCTCAAAGAAATACAACTGTTACATGCTTTAAGGAAAGTAATTTAGCAATTTGTGTCAAAAGGCTTTTATAAATGCATACTTTTTGTGTTAGTAATTTGATTTCTAGAATTTTATCCTAAGGAAAAAACAAAAAAGTCCACATGACAATTTAATTATGAATGCTTTTATCTTGGCATTATGTATAAGAAACTCAAATGTTCAACAGTGAAGTTTTCTGTGTCCATATAATGTATGTCAGAATTTCTCAACTTTGGCACGATGGATATTTTGAGCCTGGTAATTCTTTTCCGTGGGCGCTGTGTTGTGCATTGTAGGATGTTCAACACATCGCTTCTGTCCACTAGATACCAGTGGTACACCCTACCTTCCTCACGCTTGTGAAAACTAAAAATGTCTTCAGACATTGTCCTGGGAGTGACATTGCCTCTGAGTGGGAATCATTAATGTATAGTAGGCAGATTTTTAAATAGTTTTAAATGAATATTTTTAAAGGGGAAATACTGAATATCTTCTTAAATTAAAAAAAAAAAAAAAAAGTGAATGGTTGCCACAAAAGAGTAAGATACCAGTAGGCCAGTTTAGAGGATGTAAAGTTTCTTTAATGGCAAAGGTTGCTCTGATGGTTCTGTGCAAAGCCAGATATTCCCAAAGGATCTGTCAGAGCAGCCCTGAATAACACAGAATCCCATAATTGTCCACGTGAGAGGATCCTGCCTGGTCCAGGAAGCTTCCCTTTTGTGGTTCCAATAGGATTTTAGGAATTTTTTTTTTACCTTAACCCCTCCTCCTAGGCCCTCCCTATTTTCAGCTTTTCCTAGGATTTGGCTTTTCATCTACCTCCTCACCTAGTGCAAATACATAGTCTGTATGAATATTTCTGAATTCACTCTGAGTCTAGATGAATCAAAGTTTCAATTTCCAGCCTCCCTCAAGAGGCCCAAACTTTAGGTCAATGTGCTCTGTGTCTTCGCAAGCGGTTAACAAATTCATTATGCTTTCCCTTAAAAATGTTTAAGTGTGCAGAAATGCATATATATTGTAAAAGTTACTTCTTGGAGATAACTTCATATGTGATTTAAAAAATAAGCACTTTATTTTTAATGTTTATTATTGAAGCTATTTTCTAAAAGAAAAATAAATTATTTAAATTATAATTCTTAGGGAAAAGAATTAAATTGATTTTATAAGTGATGGACAGCTTTTAATATATTAGTCCTAATATAAAAAATAGTATATTTAATTAATATACAGTAGGAGGACTATATAAATGAAGCCATTCAGATTCTGGGGGTCTAGGAACCTATGTCTCACAGATGAAGGCCAACTACTGTATATAGGAGAGAGGATAAGTGACATTGGAAAAACTTAACAGCAAGACAAGGAAGTCCATGGGGAGCTTCATGGAAGAAATAGCATTTGCAAAGGGTCTTGAAAGAACCTAAAATCCCAAGAGTCAAATAGGAGCCATTGGCAGTGGGCTGAAGAGCACGGGAAGGGCAGACCAGGGTGGCCAGGCTAGCAGAGGGCATGTGGCAGAGGGAGTGTGGTACAGTGAGCCTTGCCTGAGCTTTGGAACTCTGGTTCTGATGCTTACTAAGTGCCCACAACTTTCCCACCCCCATCTGTAAAAAGGAAAAAATACCTACTTCATAGGATATTGGTGAGTATTCCATGGGAAAGTTTCTGGCCCAGAAATGCTAAAAAAAAATAAATAAATAAAAATAAAAAGAGGTTACTTATTTTCTATTTTCTAAAAACAATGGGTCTTTTAGTATTGGGGTAACAGAGAATAGAAACAAAATTTTATTTTGGAACTTTTTATTTTTTATTTTATTTTTTTTAAAATATATTTTATTGATTTTGTACAGAGAGGAAGGGAGAGAGATAACGAGTTAGAAACATCGACGAGAGAGTCATTGATCAGCTGCCTCTTGCACATCCCCTACTGGAGATGTGCCCGCAACCAAGGACATGCCTTTGACCGGAATCAAACCCAGGACCCTTCAGTCTCCAAGCCGACGCTCTATCCATTGAGCCAAACCGGTTTCGGCTATTTTGGAACTTTTTAAATAGAAATCTATAAAAGCCATAAAATCATGTTATTCTTGACCACATCTAATTTGATTAATTTGCTGGAAAAAAAAATAGTTCATAAGGATTTAAAATATTAGTATGAAAAAGAGTGATCTGTAGTTATACCACTATTTTAGAAGTTCTTAGGGGTATTTTGAAAGCTAAGCATCAAGAATACATTGTCTAAATTATTAGTGATCTCCAAATTAGCAATGGGGTTCCCTGTGTGTTGTTGATATTAAAATTAATGTTTTCTTTGTTCTTGGATAGTAACCCACTTACATTCTTAATTATGTTCTTCACAGGCTAATAGTAGTGCTAGTTCATCTTTAGGTGCCCCGTATTGGGACCATTATTTAAAAGTGTCTAGACGTGCCCTAAAGACTTGTGTCCCATGAGGGAAAGCTGGCATGGCACAGAAGTCATTGTAGTCATTATCCAGCTTCATCCCTACTTCCCAGAAAATACTAGTGTCCTTGTTCTCTTCCTTTTCTACTCCTTAACTTCTCCCATCCCCACCCATTGCTTCTCTTTCACTCTCTCATTGGGATAAGAAATTTTTCCCTAAAAGTAAAAGTTATCATAAAATATAATTCCTGACCTATCCTTCCATTCCTTGAACACACATTTTCAGTGTGCTGTGGAAATTGGTGTGTACGTCTCAGATCAAATAGAATTATCCTTTTTTTAAAGCAGCTGTCCCCTATGGACAGTGTATGTTATGAGACTTAATGCCATTTAGCATTTGGAATTATTCTTTTTTCTTGAATTGGAAATAAGAATCAGCAAAAATTACCATGTTATGGCGTCCCAGCATAATTTCAGAGTCTGTCTATAGGGACAGTATTTTTGGTAACAGGGAAATATTAATACAGGCAATGCTGCATACCAATTAGTTTTATTAAAATATATATTATGCACAGCTCTGACTTGGCTTAAAAAGTTTCCTTGACAACATCATTTAACTTCTTACTGTTCTTTTCATGTTGCTAGTATAAATATCTAATATGTTTCTGTTCAAAACATCAATTAGGCTTCAGTATAAGCTTTATTAATACAGATCTGTTATTACAAGAAGACTGCTGAGCTGTGATAATTTGCACAGCAGGAACAATAAAATATCTTTTTTCTGCTTGGTTCTATCCCAAAACACTTGGCATTTTAATTTTTTTTAACAGAGCCTTCCAGAATCTCTTTTAACATTTACAATGAAATCTTTATAGGTCTGATAAGCCAAAAGCACTGTTTTCTTCAAGCGTAAACAATGGGAAGGCCCGAAATTACAGACAGATTAAAAAACACACGTACTAATATTAATTCCAGATCCCCACTTTTAATATCTTTCATTTTTTTCTCCATGTAGCCAGAACCCCCCACTTCCTGAGGATTCAGAATGTGGAAGTGAATGCCGGCCAGTTTGCCACGTTCCAGTGCAGTGCCATCGGCAGGACCATGGCAGGGGACAGGCTCTGGTTGCAGGTACAGTAACTCATTTCACCAATTTATTCAAAGTCCAGGGGGAAGAAGACCTGCCCTCTGGGGAGGGGCCCAGAGAACTGGATCAGTGCCAGGTCCTAATGGAAGATGGATGCTGTGGGGAGTTTTCCCGTTCCTTTCTTCTCACTAAGTGGCCAGAATATTAAGAGTTCTAGATACACTAATTATTGTTTGTCACAGACCTTGTTTTGAATTTGTTTTCCCCCACTTATTTGTGCGTAGCTATCTTGTTTTGAAGAGCTGATTGTCAAATTACTTTAAGAGCTTATTTTAAAGTACAAATAGTAGTACCCTTTTCCTACTTTTCCTCTAGAGAAAAACCCAAAAAATTGTCTATCCCATCTTTTCCCTTTCCCTCCCCCCCTCACACACACACACACACACACACACACACACACACACACACACACACATTTATAGACCTTGTTTTAATGTGAATTTAGATAGCAATAAGCCCAAACTTAGAAAACATTAATAACACATCTTTTACCTTTAAGAATGCTAAGTAGACATTTTCCAGGGTAATCATAATTTTTGGGTTTTACAATCCTCAAATTTCTCTGTGTATTTTGCATGGCAAATTGTTTCAAGAGTAGATCCATGGTCTCAATAATTCTGAGAATGAGTGACCTGCCCCCCTCTAACCAGAGTGTTACCCATTTTAGACTCTAGGTGTCATTTATCCGCCCATGCAATTCTCTCATTTCATTCTTTCTCTTCCTTTCCAACATGGATGTGCAGGCTGCTCATTCTTCACTTTGAGTAGTGCTGACTTTCCCCCTTTCCTTTTTGGTTAATTATTTACTTAATAGAGGCCCGAGGCATGAAATTCGTGTAAGGGTAGGCCTTCGCAGCCCTGGCTGCCTCGGCCCTCCCAGCCCAGGCTTCATCCTGAAGGTTGTCTGGAAGTCTCTCTGGACAGTTGTTCCACTGTTCAGCGGCTTGGTCCATTTGCATATTATGCTTTTTATTATTATAGATTGGTGTTTGCTACCAGGTTGTTTTATGCTCTAAGCTCTATTCCTATTTACCTTGGTTTCCACTTCCTGCAAACTGACTTTTCTTCTGTGCACATCACCTCTCCAACTTCTATTATACCTCTTCTGCACTGTAATAATGATTGTGATGTGTTACATTTGCATGGCACTCTATAATGTTCAATCCCTTATCCCTTTTAATCATTACAACTGCAGTAAATGGCCATTGATAATTCTCAATTTCTGGGGAAAACGGAAGATAGCCAAATGTGCTATCCAAGATTAGTCAATAATGTGTTGACAAATGGGTAATAGATCATGGAGGAATCTTCTTAAGTATAGCTGGGTCCTCTGGACAATTCCTCACCCTTGTACCTTGATGTCACTCTCTTTTCTCATATCCTTCTGTCCTTGTTAGTGTCCTCTGGCCAGGAAGGAGGAATGTGGGCAGAGGACTGAAATTATATCTACCAAAATCATCTTTACTGTTTCCTTTTCTCTAAAAGTTGTACAATCATTATTTTAAAAGCTTTTGCAGTGTGTGAAAACTGTGCCTAACCCTGTTCTTCAGTATTTGACCTTTTCCTTTTTATCCCACTCTCCAGTTATCTTAGATTCTTGATGTTGGTGATTGAGAATTATTTTCTTAGTGGTTGTTTAGTACAATATTAAATTCTGTCAAGATTAGCTATTTATGGTAATAGATGAGACATTTTTAATTGCATTTTCCACAATGCATTAATGACCCTTTGAAAATATCCTTGTCATCTTTGATTTATCTTTAGAAATCTTAGTTTTTATGGAATTTTCTTCTGATATTTATATTAATGTTACTTGAGAGAATACAATATAAAGTCTAAACTCTCACCTCAACAGAGTCTTATATATTCCCAAGAATTTACATGCAAGTTGAGGGAGTCAATTTGTTCTTTTTGCAAACTGGACTTGGGATGCTTATGCTTAAACTTGAGCATTTCCTTGGGGATTGGAGATCTTCAATTTTTACAAAGTAGGGGGTTGTTTTAAAGAGAATCTCTCATGTTGTAGGGAGAAAGCTAGCTGCTATTTTTAAGAAGAGGGGGATGGGCTTAGTGCAGAATTCTCAACCCTGATTCCACTACTCCACATGGTGAGGTTTGTTTGTTTTTCTTTGTTTGTTTATACCCTGTCTATACAAGGATTCTGATTTAGTTTGGTCTGGGGTAGGATCTGCATCCAATATTTTGTTAAGATCTCCCACGTGATTCCGTGTGTGCCCAGGGTTGACAATCACTGGTCTGAAGCAAAGTGCGACACATGTTGGAAGTTAGGAAAGGAAAAGGTGGCATAAATTATAATTGGTACCTGTATTCCTCTCTGACTCTCATGATGAATTTCTCATGTACAGGGTCTCACCTGCTTTTGTTCTATTAAATTTTATCATTGTATTGGTGAATTGTTTTTATTATTAGTCCATTAATGTAGTTGTCTATTGCCCAATCCTTCTTTGCCCTTGTTATCATCAGTGACTGCTGATTGCCTGCAGATTTCCACATGATTGTGTTCAGAAAGGGGTGACAAACATAGAACTGTTGTAGCTTTGAAATTCTGAGTGAAACTTAGCTTGTCCTGGACTCAGTGTGCTATCTTTGCGATGTTAGAGTAATTTTACTGTTAAATGACTTATTTCCTGTGGTAAGACAGGCATTTTGTGGAGAGATGTTTATTTTTTAATAGCTGATGACATGAGACTAGTGTCCTTTGCTTGCAATCATGGTTTCTAATAAGCTGTTTATGAGGAGTGGCGTCCAGTAGCCATGAAGATTTTCAGCAGGTGATGATCTCTCAGGGCCCTCCTGCCCTCCTGGTGCTGTGCCCCAGTCCTTTGCCGCAGGCCGTTCTCTAGATGTTGTGGAGAGAAGCAAACCTGGAATCATGGACCAGGTCTGTGTAGTCTGCAGATATGACTATCGACATTTCTTCTTATTACACTAATGCACAGTTTAACAAAATGCTTTCCTGCATATAAATTCACGTACATCCTCAAAATAATTCTCAGATCCAGGGAAAAATTGAATACAATTTTTTTCCAGTCATTTTATAATTTGAATCTTCCCAATAGTAAGTCAAGATTTAGAAATTAATCATGCTTCTTTATTTGGGGTACATCAATGTTTTTGGATATCACCATTTGCAATAATTTGTGTTACTTGTGCTACCATCTTTGGAGTTCTGCCACAGGCATTTTGCATAGAGTTTCATGGGAGTATTGCATGGTCTTAAACTTCTTTTGTAGATGAGGGGGTTGAGGGGCAGGATTATCTGAGGTCACAAAGGTAAATGGCAGACCTTGGAACAGTACATCTCTGTGTCTTACTTTTACTGTGCTACTGATTAATTACACTCCACTATGCTGTCTTCTCATACCCCTATGCTAGGTGAATAGGCCATATTCACTTACCACTTTATTACTAGAATTTGAATGTGACCAGCATTCCATGATTAACATCTGACAAAATTAAGAAGCCCATATGTATTTCATGTACATATATTGAGCCACAACTAAGAAAAATGGTCAATGGTTTGATTGTCTTAAATTAGAGATTAAATATGATCACTGTCAGAGTCTTTCACAAAAATATAACACAAATAAATCTGATGATGACACTAATGAAGAAATGTTTATGGTGAACAGATGCAGCCAATCTGCTTACATTTTCTTTGTTGTATATATGGGCCCCACAAGTTATTGCCAAACTGGTATCAGTATTTGTAGAATACAGAACAACGAATAAAACATAGTACATGAACATCTATTATTATAGCTGCAAAGTACTTAAAACATCTTGCAGACAATTGCAGTAGGAAGACAGTATCTATAAAACTATTTTTTATAGTACAAAACTGATATGCAGTGGATTTGTTGAAGATGGTTGCTATATGCTATCAGATATGACAGTCTATGCATACAATATTGGTGCAACCATGGGAGATAGTAAAATGAAATGTATTTGCAAAATCATTCAAACACCCAAAGTATGACCATATTTCTTATTATTATCAACTTTCTGATCACTTGTGAAGCTTATATTTAAAAACATATATATGTATATATATATGTATATATATACCTATATATTTATCACTGAAAATAGAAAAATGGAATTTTAGATGCTCTTTTTTATACTTATAGATTATTTGCTGATGTACAATTTCTTAGTTTATAAATTTTTATGTAGTCCTTGACCCTTTAAGCCATATATGATTGTATTAAGTTGCTATGTTCTTTAAGTATTTAAATTTTATTTTCCTACATATGCTTTCTTTTGCTGAGAATTAATATTTATAATACCTATTTCAGCATTTTAATAAATAAAGATGATCACCAAAGACAGTGCTGATGTCTGTAAATCCGCAACCTGTGCACATTCTTTTCCAGGAAACACAGGCACTTCTGCCTCTTCTTCTGTATCTGTCCAGTGTGGGCATTTTTTATAACTTCTATTTAATTCATTTCTCATTACATTAAAGAGGCTCCACTGTTTTTTAGTGTCTTAGTGTCTTAATCAGCTTGGGCTGCTAAAACAAACTCCCATAAACTAGTGGCTTAAACAGCTGGCATTTATATCTCACAGTTCTGGAGAGTGTAAGTGCAAGATCAGGATGTCAGCATGCATGCAGGATTCTTAGTGGGGACCACTCCCTGGATTGTAGATAGCCTTATTCTTGCTGTATCCTTACACACACACACACACACACACACACACACACACACACACTCGTGTGCACACACACACGGGGGGGGGGGAGAAAGATCTGGGCTTGTCATGCCCATATAAAGGCACTAATCTCATCATGATAGGGGTGCCATTCTCATGACTTCATCTAAACCTAATTATCTTCCAAAGGCCCAATCTCCAATGTCATCATATTGAGGATTAGGTTACATCATAAGAATCTTGGGGGGACACAAATATTCTGTCTACAGCCTTCAGCTACAACATCAAACTCAGAAGTGGGTGAGAC